AAATCTTCGTTTTTTCCTGACAGCATCACTTACGTCGAACCGTAATCGCAGTATTTCATAAAAAAATGTGCTGCAACTTACTGACACTAACTATATGTCGTTACTTCAATAATACTAGTAGTTCTATGCAGGGCACCTTCCTGTTTGCAAGGATAAAGCGTGTTTTGATTGATATAAATTTGTGTTTTGCATGGATTCTAGCAAAAAAGACAGCTACAAAATGCGTTTTGTAAGCTCATCTCATCCTGACCAAAATGATGTCCGTTTCCAATTTAAGCCTGTCATCCATGTACAAAATTTAATGTCTTGGCGCTGAATTTAGTTTTCTTCGGATGAAAATTTTTTATTTTCAGTTTGCATTCCTCATCCGTGTTGCGTCTGATGATTTAATCCAATTTTCCCAACACTCCGGTTAAATTTTGCATCCCCTTGGTTAACTTTTGCTCACATCTGACCGAAAATCGCGCCATCGAGGGTAATTTATTGCATTTTTCTTTCCCGCGGGAGTCATTTGGATTTCCCGTCTTACCCGCTTTTAAAAACAAAGCAGATACGTTTTAGCTATCTTTCCTCCATCCATTGAAAACGGCGTAAACTAGGATAAAACTCTGCTATAACTTACTCGCGTTGTCATCCTTTCTAAATTCATCTCTAAACTTATTCCTTTGATCCTTTAATCGTACAGTTTTGGCTTATTTCTAGCTCAGAATGGAAAGTCCTGGCATAGCTTCGCCCGACATATAGGAGCACTATAACACAGGATATGTATACTGGTTAGCCTGCGTGTTACTATTATTTTTAAAATTATAGTATCCGGACGACGATGATGGCGAAATGCAGGAAGGAAGCCTAGTTGAATATTGTCGAATAAATCATCGTGAAAATGCGCTATATCAGCCGAAGATCTGCCTGGCTGATAAAGTCATCAAAATGACCACGACGGAGCAACCGCAACAGCACAGCGACAATTTTGCTAAAACGGTATATTTTTTTATTGAAATTCTGGATGACGTGAGTGCTTCATTCTTGTATTGTCGATGGCGAATTCTCCCTCTTTCAACAATTACTTATAAGCTGGCGAATTTGTCTCTTTGACAAGCGTCAGTGCCACTAAGACGAGGAACAAGCTGTAAAGGGATTGGTTGTCCGACCGGTGGAGTTGATCCCGCGATATTCAGCTTAATGGCAGCACTTTTTACCAGTGCTCGAGGACGTCAGCAGAGTATCCATAAATGATTTTAGTGTATTCTTCCAGAAAAGTCTCACCAGTGTTTTCTGTTCAAAAAATCGTAATTATGTCATTGACTTAGTCGCATAGATACCAATAATTGGTGGATTAATTGCAAATACACCAATTTTTGAGGTGATGAATTTAAAAGGATGAGATGCAATTCTTGGATCTACACAATAATGTGAAGAAATCAATCTCCCCCCTCCTCCCTCTCCATACTCGCTCTCGAAGAAGATCGCCAGCAGGCTGACCAACGGACGGTGCGCCACTGGTCAATGCAGTGAGGAAAATTGCCAGTTTGTGAAGAGCCAACTTATAAGAAGTTAAAATTGACCCAAGTGTTCCAACATTTGCTGCAAAGGTGCACCAAACACGCACTATGAAAAGCAACCGAACATGTCCTGTACAGGTCGAGAAAAGCAAAAAAGCATTTTTGCGAGTTTGTTCCTTTGGTGCAAACGGAACATGGCGCAAAAAAAGTGAAACGAAATTAATGCGAGACTGTGATGTAACCTCTTTACACCGTGAACGTTTGCACCGAGTGGCGTAGATAGGATTTTTTTTTTGAAAGTGGCGGCTTTTGTGAAAAATTTTTTGTAATTTTGTTCCAGAAAATATATTGTAAAGCCCATCTTTCATTTCATTTACAACAAGTATTTTGATGATGAAAACATAATAGAGCAAAAATCCTACGCTTATTCTACGGTTTATGGGAGAGGGAAGTGTCGTGAACGGAGCCCTTTTTTGCGTACGATATGCTTGCAGAGAAAATCAAACCTCGTCTGAATCCTTCGAATCGTGACGTGTTATCCGCTACACCACCGGTGCTTATACTTCACACTTAGCACCTGAAATTTATATATTTGGATGCACGTCACACGCATACACATTCACTATAGCGACGAGCACTACTATCACCAAACACTGATCACCTCCCCAGTTTTCACCGACTTTTCAGGGACCGGGATCCGCCAATCGAAAGTGGTCTTATCGTAAGGACTTCATTAGTAGTAATTTTAAAAGTTGGATCTCAGTGCACCAGAAATGTTGGATCTCGGTTCTTAGTGAATTTGATCTGCTGGTAAAGCCGTCTCCCGGAGAACTTTTGGGTGGAAAAACTCTCTTGATTCCATGGAATTAAGTGCTTCAGTCCAATTTGTCAAGGAACCAAATGAGGGAGTTGTAGAAGAATTAAGGGCTGGAGCCGGCCCTAGGGAGGTGATTTATCCATGCTGTTCTCCTACTCAAAGCAGCCCAGAAGTAGGTGCATTTTTAAATTATGCTTTTAACGAAAATAGTACCGTCTT